TTTTTTTTTTTTGGTATTTTCTGTTGCAACTGTACATATATCAAAAACAGTAAGAAAGGTAAATGTTGGCATTATTTTTTGGTGGTAGAATTGTTATGTTGAGGTGAAAAAGACGTCATAGAAACATACCTAAACAAAAATAAAGGGAAAAAAAAAAACAGTTCTTGTAGAACAACTTTTTGAAATGTCAAAGAGTTGACTTCTGCAAACGTACTTAGCAATATTTACAGATTTTTACATTTTTTTCATACATTTTTTACCTTGTTTTTTTTTTTTTCAATTTTTACATATTTATTTTGTTCCTTTTTTTTTCCGACTTCAATTTACTTGCTTATTTCGTCTTAGTTGCATAGTTGTATTTGCCCCTAATTATTGGTGCTGTGATTCAACCAAATTATTCACTATAGGTTGTATTTAATAGATTGATATACAGTGACTTTTTGTAATTTTTAAAAACCAGAAATCTTCGTTGAACTTTTGAGCACACTGCTGATGATAATAGGTTTTGCAAATGCTTTACTGCTAAAAATGTTAGCTGTTTTAGGGCGGAAGTTTGACGTCAAATTTTTTTTTTTGCTTTTCAACTTTTTCAACTGTATCTGTCGTATTGTTTGTTATCGACAGCTTAAATACACATAAACTTTACAATAGAAAAAAAATTTTTTTCTTGGCGAAGAAAAAGCTATTCCTCTTTTTTTTTTGTTTTGTTTTGTTAACAGTGTATTTAGAGACAACTTATTTGTACCCATTTCAAACAAATGATTGTCGTCATTAAATTTGAAGAGTGACAAAAAAAAAGAATCAATAAATTTAATGAAGTCATCAAAACTGCAGTAACTATTTTTGAACCAAATCTCGACCAAATTTTTTTTTTTTTTTTTTTTTTGATTTTTCTAATATCTTTATCAACTTTTTTCTTCCTCTCGCAGCACATTTTTGTCTTTCAACTTATTTTATCGCTAAATGATTCCTGTTCAATTAAACATATTTGAACAAATTTTGCGTCTTTTTTTCTTCTGTTAGCAGACTTTTTTTCCGAAACTGAGC